TTAAGTCTACTAATTAAAAGCTTCATTGATTCAGAATCTATTTTTGGACAGAGATGTATTATTCTAAATTCTGATCCTAATAAGTGACAATTCCTAGTCTTAGTTGAGATTATAAGCCTTGACAAATTTGCCCATTCTTAGGTGATCTCTAGAGTTGCATTAAATAATAAGCCAATCTATATTGTCTCCTGACAGGCTACCACAGGGAACCCCTCTAATATTGTGGTGGCATTTCTACCTGGTGGATGGCTGGAAGCAATCAGTCTCCTTTACATGTTTGTCTGATTGACGTGAGTGTAACTATTCTTAAGGGTTAAGGTCAAGGGTGCTGGGGTTGATCCCTACCAGACCCCTTCCCAACCACCCTCCCCCAGGTTCCCTGAGTGCTCACTAGGTGGCAAATTCAAGGGCTGCTATGGGTAAGTCACTTCCCTATGTGAGCCCTCAAAGTGGGGATAACACTAGTCCTTACCTGTAGTGTAAGCCACGTGCCTGACTTAAGCTTTGATTGCCCAAGTATCCACTTCAAAGAGGGCAATCTGAATAAACACAACGCCAGCCACACAACTAGATAAAGAGCCAGGCCACCTTCCCCCACTGAGGCTTCTTTGAGTTAGAGATCTTGGTTGGGCCTCTTATTTTTTTTTCTCTTCCTGTGCTTTAAATTCCTGCTCTTATGTTTTAAATTCGCCAATAAAGAGGGAGCCCATGAAGCCCTAGGTCCTCCCATCCTCAACCCCAATAAGAGCAGAACCCCAGGTCCATGCTCTCTCTCTCTCTCTCCTCCCATGACCTTGTTGTGTGGCCCCATGTGTGCTGTGTAATTTCCAGGTCCTGTAAGTAATAAACCCTTATTTTTTCAAAATTTCTCAATGGTATTGCTGAAGGGCACCTTGCAATCACAGTAAGAACCACAAGGGCTGGTCCAACCATAACACTGGTTATTGACAGGCCGGGACTGGCACAAAACATTACCTCACGGGGTTTTTGAAAGGATTAAATAAGCTAATAATGTACAACACTAAGAAAGATGCCACCCTGGGTACCTACGTGCTCAAAATGTGTTAGTTCCAAAAGGGCCCCCCCCCCCGCAGAGGGAAGCATCTGGTGTGAGTCTCCCCAGGAAAGATGGCAGTAAGCCTCACAGAGAAGGCACAAGCCCAGCTTGGCACCTAAGAGCAGAGAAGCAATGGCCAACAGGGGAGAACCTTCATAGCAATTGGACAGTTCAGCCGAGTCCTGCATGCTCAGCACGGTGCCTGGCAGGCCCCGGGGGTCTGGCGTGTTGACAGGCTGCAAGGAAGGGGAAGAGATGGTATATGCCTGGACTCTTGCTTATACTCATACTTGTTACTCTCTGACACAAGTATGGAGGGGCTGTTCCTCTCCTCAGGGCAACCAGTACCATCCAGTAGAACTTTCTGTGATTATGGCAATGTCCTGCATTTTCCCTTTCCAATATGGTAGCCACCAGCCACATGTGGCTACTGAGCACTTGAAATGGGGGTAGCGTTGTTGAGAAACAAGCATTTCCTTTTAATTTTTTTTTAGGTAATCTCTACACCCAACGTGAGGCTAGAACTCATGATTCTGAGATCAAGAGTCACACGTTCTCCCGACTGAGCTAGCCAGGCACCCTTACTTTTATTTAATTTTAGTTAGTGTAAATTTAAGTAGCGTGGGCTGGGGGATAACTGCAATGATGGCTAGACATGAACCTATCTGGGGCATTTGGAGAGGTAAATTGTACTGGATGTGATGATGAACCAGATGGTGATTTGGAAACTAGAGAGCCAGTGTAGACCCAAGGAGGCCATCTGGGTTTCTGGCTGGAGCCACTGGGTAGAAGGTGCCATATATGAAACAGGGAAGGGTGGGGAAGGAACAGACTTCCAGGCAAGGAATTAGCAGCTCCATAATGGACGTCTTAAGTTATGTTCACAAATTCAGCCAAATCTGGTCTGGGACACAATGGCTTTTTAATTTTGGGTCTGATCCACATAAATCTCCTTTCCTTATTTCCAAATTACTGGAACATAAGTATATCAGAAAAGTTCCCCATACAATTCCTACCTTACTAACAAGTTTTATCTAGTTTTTTTTTAAGTCTTTGGAAAGTTTGCATGTTTTATTTCTTAGGAGCGATTTTACAAATAGAGCTCAGCTACACAGACAAGTCTGTAAACATCAAGTTCATAATAATTATCAACAGAGAACATTATTTGGGAATATTTCTGTGGGAAAAAACTTTAATCCTAAAGTCTAACTAGGGCCTCTTTAGGCTGTGCTATGCCTTATAATAGTCACTAGCTCCATGTGGCTCTCTAAATGTAAATTAATTACAAGTGAATTATGAACTCAGTTCCTCAGTCACACTGGCTCTCTTTCAAGTGCTCAGTGGCCATATGCGGCTGGCGGCTACCATATTGGACAAGGCAAATACAGAACATTCCCACCATTGCAGAAAGTTTTATTGGACAGCAGGGAAGAAAAAGCCTTGGGGAGTCACTGGTACAAACAGGGCACATGGCTGGCTCAGTCGGAGGAGCCTGTGACTCTTAATCTCAGGGTGGTGAGTTCAAGCCCCACGTTGGGTGTAGAGATTACTTGAAGAAATAAAAAAAAAAAAAAAAAAAAAGGAGAGTGTGGTTAGAGCCTATGGATGAGGGGAGTAGTAAGAGGCAAGGCTGGAGAACAGAGAGAGGCCACATCAGGTGGGCTATGGGGGCAGACTGGGTTTCATTTTAGGGCAGTGAGAGGCTGGGAGGGATTTAAATGCAGCAGCAGGAAGACAAGCCAGAGACTACAGAAGCGGTCCAGCAAGAGTGCAAGCTGGGGAGGTAGCAATGCAACCAAGGAAGAGGCGGCAGAGTTTTGTAGGACAGACAGAAGGGCTGCCTTGTTAATGACAGTGTTGGGCCGCAAGGAAAAGAACTGGATTCTGGGTGACGTTTCTGGACTAATCCACAGTCCCCTCTAACACACGTTTCAAATTCTCTAGTGGATAAGGGGATTCTAAGACCAACAAGGTGGAGGTAAATGAGTTATCTGAAGGCCCTGTATTGCTAATAGCTGTAAGTATGAGAGAACCAACACGCATGCACGCAATTGGACCGACCTGCTTGGCATTGGGCACATGGCCTCTCAAGCTCACATCTGACCAGGGGAGAGATACACATCTCATGTGGGGTTTCCAGTTCTTCATCATGGAGCTGGAGGGGGAGGAGGCTGAGGGGGTCACCCATGTATCAGGGGGCCTTAACTTTATGCCATAAAATTGAAAGGGTAAGGGTACCTAGCAAGGTAAAAACCAAACACAGGTAAAAGAAACATGGCGGTCCTGTTTCCTCAGAATGACCAAAAGGTCTTGATGTGAAATGCTGAGGATAAAAGCAAACTGAATTCTAATTTTTAAGAAAGAAATTTGTTTTTTAAAAAAGCTTTAAACAGAGAATAACTTGTATGATGGAACTGTGACTGATTTTTAGGTGCAGTTTTTCAATTTAATAAAAGAGGTGATGAGAGAGCATTAAATATCATGATATAAAAATGCATTTCAAATCTTCCTGTGACAAGAGCCCTTAAAGATGGGAATGGGAGCGCTAGCGGTTAGTACCGTCTTGGCCACCAAACAGAACTACATGTAATATTTGTTCAGACCACAGTCAATTTGACCTAAGTATTTTGGGATTCGGGGCAGAAGATGGAATGTTTTCCCAAAACATTCTGAAGTCACAGAATTTAGCATGTTAGTACTTCTGATGATGTGATAATTACCTTATGTGAATAAGGAGAAACGGGGCTATCTAAATAAAAACTGAAATGGAGGAATTTGGAGTTTGTTTTAAGAGAAATATGTTCTAATTCTGGGGTTTAGACATATTGTCATATTTCAGAAAAGTCAGGGGGCTCCTGGGTGGCTCAGTCAGTTAAGCATCTGACTCTTGGTTTTGGCTCAGGCCAGGATCTCATGGATCATTGAGAGACCGAGTGCGGTATGGGGCTCTGCACTCAGCGGGGAGCTGCTTGAAGATTCTCTCCTCTGTCCCTTCCCCCACTCATGCACCTACACGCTCTCTCTAAAGTACATAAATCTTAAAAAAAAAAAAAAAAAAAGATGGCAACTACCATCTTGCTTTGCAATCCTGCACAGCATCTCTGGATGCAGCTCTTTTGTGGTTTCCAAAGGCTTCAGCTAGCTCAGTTTGGTCAAAACAGCACAAAGCTGAGAGCACAAGGAAACGTAACAGATACACGGAGACCCTGCATGGTGCCCTGTTATGTATTCTCTGAGTCTTGAGAAGAGGCTGCGAATTGAATCTTTGGTCCTGGAGACCACAGCGGGGCAGGGCAGGCCCTGGGCTCAGAGAGGACTGGCTGGAATCTGTACCAGGACGTCAACATCTTGGGGTCTTGGGAGCGTCAATGCCCTCCCTGAGTCTCAGCTCGCTCACCTGTAAAATGAAAACGGACATTTGTCTTCAGTGAGCACAATGCTGGTCTCTAGGAGAAAAATCGACTTGTGGGTGTGAAATGTGCTCATAGGATGGGGTTTGCCTGACAACTGGGATCATTATTCCCCTCCCTCAGAAGAGACGACGACAGGAACCACACTTGGTGACTGTTTGAAAGCACACGTCAGTAGCCGGATGGGCATGAGTCCAAAGGGCAGGTCGTCTTGATCAAACGGTCATGTTCTAGCAGATAACTGCTCCTGTCCAGTGGTGCTAAGCTCCCCACGAGCCCCGACGCCCCAAGAACTGGCCTGCTACTCTTAACGTGGGATTTCAAGACCAAAACCAAGTAGCAGAAAGCAGTGAATAGTTTAACTCTTTAACAAACACCGAAGAAAAATGAAAATGATTTGGAAATGGCAATAATTTAATGAACCCGTTTTATTCACTGTCATTTACCCTGTCTTGGGGAGGAAAAAAAAATCAGTCATGTTCCAGATGTTCTTACACCTGAAAGTGAAACTAGTTCACAAAATAAAATCATACATAATCCAGTGCCAAAAACTGGTGATTTATAGAAATCACCCCTCGTTTATTTTTTCCAACACAGAGAAAAAAAAAACATGGTTCAGTAATTCAGTGTTTGGGTCACTGGCAAATACCGTCTGCATCATTCAAAACAAACGTTCCCGGCAGTGAGCTCTGCGGCGCATGGTGACGGCCCAGGAATCTTCCATCGTTCAAATACAACGGAGAACCCACTCGTGAAGATTATGTGAGAAACACGATGCCCTATCACAATGTGCATAAAAAGGCCTTTGAAAAATATACAAATCTTTCAAGGAATGAAAACACTTCTGTTTTGTTGTTGGTTTTGTTCCTTTTAATGATTAATTTTTGGTTTCTGAAGTCAACTTTTTTGCTGCGAGGAAGGAGTTTTAGGACTTTGTAAGTGGAAACCAACAACGCCGCTGGCCTCTACATACATTTTCCTGCCCCAACATAGAGCTTGCCCCCCGCCCCAAAAAAACCCTCTTTCATGATTTTTGTTATGGTTCAAAAAGTAAAGAAAATGATTTCAAGTATTCAATTCCTATCAAAAATTGGTATCAAAAGTAATAAAGGACCTAGTTTCTTTATAATTCCATGTTTTAAAAAATAACTTAAGAAGCAAGAGGTCCGGCCCTTTACTTGTATAAATACCACAGCGTAACTAGAGTTTCTTAAGACAACGTGGAGAGGAGTCCGTGTTTAGCACCTCGATCATTGATCTTAATGTAGGGAACGTCTCTGACACGGATGGGAGAGTCTTATAAGAAGGTGAAATACTGGAAAAGAAAAACACAAAGAAGGAATATGAAGATTAACACGATTTCACAAAAAAGGCATTATTCCTATTTTAATATTCTCTTTCCAGTGACCCTGTATGTATGCTGTCAGACAATTTTACAAAAGCAGGGAGGAGCTGTGAAAAGAACGGATGCTTCTGTGGCTGGGGACTTATATCCAGAGGCTCCCATAATGGGCTGCTGGCCAGTTCAGCCAGAATCTTCGGAAAGGAAAATTAAGCTCTGCTGTACGCATGACTGTTCGCACACGTCCTGCTGGGGAGCCATTAGACTTCAATCAGAGACACAGGGTCCAGGCTGGCCTCGCTCCTTATTGGCTACAGCCCTTTCTCTGGCCCCCCTGCCCGTATCAGTAGCACCAGGCACAGTCTTCTTAACTCACAGCGGGGCCCTGAGCCCAGTATGAGATCATACATGCCAGAACGCGGTGCGAAATGGTACCTGCACAGCGGGAGGCAGTTTTTTATTCATTCCTTAAAGAACTGTTGGAAGGTTCACACTGTAAAACTATCAAAGAGACAGAAGCAAGATGTTTGACGCTTTGGTCATATTCCTAAAACACACGTGAGCCAGTAATCTTGAAACAGGAATACACTGGAATGCGGTGCGACTGTCAGAAGCGATCGTTACAAAGCTAAGTAATGTACTTACACACTGAACAAGAGTGCACTACAGACATGAATTTCTCTGTTTTAAACAGAGTGCAAATTATCCAGCAATTTTTAGAGTGGCTGCTGTGTCCAGTAGATGGGAAAGGCAAAATTGGTGGGGGTTATGATGAAGAAAACACAGAGAAGGAGCAAGAATAAAGGTCAGTGACATGTGCTTGTTCTTTATTAACTATTAGAGCATCTATGGGTTTAATTTCATCCCAAAAGTCCTGGCAACAAGAGCCAGGAAAGATCAGGGTATGCTGGACTCGTGATGGTAGCCGCTGGGGATGATGTCTGATTAGTATTTACGGACTCACATGTATTCCTCGCCTATGTTACAACGAAGGGCCACCTTCTCAAAATCACCTGTGCAGTAAAAATGGGCTCCCACTCAGAGTAAGTCTGAAATGGGTCCAGCTCACAGTTTTCAAATTCCTTCCTGAACACTGAACCTAAGAGATTGGGATAAAGGATCAATTAGCCAAGAGAGATAAACGCCTGATTATACAAAGAGGACATGTGTCACTTTTCCTTCACAAACCAATTTCCTTGCTTTTTATTCATTATTTATTTTTATCTGTAGACTCACCTTTCGGCGGTCCTACACGACAGGAGAACATCTTAGCCTTGGAAAAATGGATTACACTCCTTGCAGAGTAAGAACGCCAGAAAGGGAGCGTACTCCCAGTATCGCCCAGCCAGCTCCAACAGGAGCAGGAAGTCCTCTCTCCCCCTTTAGAGGTAACATCCCTTTGTTGACCGCCACCAAGTAGTTACCTTTTTAGGTTCATCCAGCTTTTGGCTATTTTGCTAAAGGCCTCTGAACCAGGAGCTGTCATAGCTTCAAAGTCAACTAACTGAAAAAGAAAGAAATTTAGGAATGTAATTAACATGGAGGAGAGAGGCTCACTTTGAGATCTGTTTAACTTCTGGATCTTAAAATAAAAATCCGAGGGCTGGGACTTAAACACACAGCCAACCATCTGCCCTTCTGGCTTCAACATACCTTCCCTTTGGGGATTTTTCCTGCCACTTCTCTTCCACTTGCCATCAAAGCTCCCACGATCACAGAGTAAGCTATCACACTATGTAAATAAAGAATAATTACTTGTCAGTCCTGGTTTCTGAACAGGGATCATATGAAAAGTTCACTATGGATTTTCTGTCATAAAAGATGAAATTTTACTTAAGAATTCTTTAGAAATTAAACTAAAAAATACTTTCATGTCTTAAAAAATATCTACTAATTTACTACTAACAAAAATATTTAGATTCACTATTTTAAGGGTAAATGTGACCCAGAATGTTCTTTTTCAGGGGAAAAAAAAGGTGTTTCTTTTAAGTAGGAGTTTTCTTCCCACTTGGTTTTTCTATTCCTATGAAATAATGAATTAGAAGATGTGTCTGCTTCTCTTTCTAGCAACTTCACAAGGCTTGGCTTTTAAAAAGCACGTATACCATACACTTTGTAATACAAATTATTAATCTTATTGTTTAAGCATTAAAAACCTCAGTCCCCAAAGAAGAAAAGCAGAACACATTCTCAGAAGGTGCCAACAGACCGGTTTGAAAGGTGATGTGTCCTATAAATTCCCTTCCTGGGATATAACAGACTCACTCCTGCTTCCGACATATCTATTACACACGGGCCGCGTGGGCCCTGTGCAGGACACTCTGCGTGCAGATAACCAGAACGAGGCTCTCGCGTCTGAGAACAAGCAGGCTGGCCGGGGAGGCAGACAGCACGCACACTGCGGGGAAAGCCTACAGGTGCAGTGAGTCAAGCCCGAGGGGCGCCCACGGGGGCCAAGGGCATGCACGCTGCGTCTTCAGGGTCCAGGCGGGGCATGGGGGGCAGAGGGGAAGGAAGGGAAATGGCTGGCACAGAGGCAGAGCCCGTGTGGACACGAAGGTGTGAGGAAAGGCAGGGAGGTGCACTGGAGGGGGAACAGGAGGACCTTCGAGAGGTTCCACAGCATAGTAAAAGGGCAGGTCAAGGAGAGCTGTGACAAGGCCAAGACAAACCAGGACAGGACATGGACAAGCTTGCACCTGAGCCACCAGGTATAAAGAATGGGGGCAGAGATCCTGAATCTCTACACTGTACACCCGAAGCCAATATAACACTGTATGTGAACTATGCTGGAATTAAAAAAAAAAAAAAAAAGAACTGAGGCAGAGAAGGGGCGGAGAAAAGCCTGGAAGCAGGGAGACGAGTCAGAAAGGCACGGACGGGGTGGCGTGGGTTCGAACTACGGTGGTAGCTCTGAGCACAGAGAGGACAGGGGCTGAACAGATGCGGCTCTGAGGGCAAGAGCATAGGTGGCGAGAACTGCACCTCCTTCCCGTGTCACCTCCTTCTGTGTCACCCCTTCCCGTGTCACCTCCTTCCCGTGTCACCCCGGGAGCCAGCACAGCCGCCGTGAGGACAAATGGGCAACTGCTGGGTACCCGCACGGCACCCGCGTCCATGCTTGATCAAAGGGGGCACGTGGAGGGCGTAAGCACGTCATATATTCAGTGCACGCTAGTAACAGGCTGATACTACAGTATTTGTGCTCCTAGCTTGTTTCCGTGCCTTTCTAATATAACAACATTTACTACCACATCTAGGAGAGTTTTAAAGTGTTAAAGACGGGAACATTCAAGTATATCATTTTAGCCCAAACATCTTAAATTCAAATTCCACTATCTACTGCACGTCGTACTGGCTGACAGAGAACAGACAGAAACCCTGGTTTTAATGACACCTAAGAAGCTCCTGACGGATTCCTAAGCAGCAAGAATTGATTCATAATAGTACAAGTAGTACAGAATGGCTGGTGACTCAAAAGTATAAAACATTAGGGCTGGAGGTCGAGTGACGGACCAAAACCAGGGGAAAGGGGGAAAGAGGACAGGGTGACAGTCTGGGCAAATATCAGAAGTTCAAATACAAGTGCACATGCATGCATGTAGTAGGCCTTCAAGACATCTGTGTTGTCCAGTGAGTGGTCTCCAGCCTGTAAAACGTAAGCACGCTATCTTAGAACAACCTTTCATAATTCCTTTGATGGTGTGGTAGGTCAAGGACATAACTTCTGGGTGGATTTTGAAAAAAACCAAAGGGGATTTCCTGCAATTGCTTGGGGTACTTTTGGAGCCCAGACACAACGAGGAGTGCAACCAAAAAGGACATGTTCTTCAATGTAAAAACTTTCAAGTCATAAGCTCTCACCTGGATCCTCGAGAGAGTGGCATTAAATTATAAAAGTAATAAACTAAGGATAAGATTAAGTTGCAAACAGCATCAGCCTCCTAGAAAAAAAAAGACACATGCTCATGAATTTAAATACTAGATTATAAACTAGTTTTTTACAAGGTGATAAAACATAAGAAAAATTTAGCTCGGGAAGAGGATTATTTCATGTCTCTCTACAGGAACCTACTTTCACATTCTTGCATATTTTATACTCTGCGCTACCATTTTTTCCTAATGAAAGGGTATATATACAGTTCAGGGTAAGGCAATATTTTCCAAGCTGTTTTTAAAACTGAAACTTTTTCAGGGCACCTGGGTGGATCAGTCAGTTAAGCAACCAACTCTTGGTTTTGGCCAAGGTCTTGATCTCAGGGTCCTGGGGTCGAGCCCCGAGTCGGACTCTGCACTCAGAGGGGTGTCTGCCGGGGATTCTCTCTCTCCCTCTCCATCTGCTCCTCCATCCCCCCTCAGTTAATAAATAAATCTTAAAAAAAAAAACCAGAAAAACTTTTCTGATAAACATAAAAATATCAGCCTCCTTTAGCGTGACTTGAAATGTCAAACTACGTATTAAGATTAAAATAAAACAAAGTACTCATTAATACCAAATATGGTTTCCCAAGATTCTGATGAGCACACCCTCTGTACTGAGATTTAGGTGATAAATACACTTAATTATATAAAAACCTGGATGCTTAATTATAGGTATGAACTGATTAGATGCAAGAGAAATGAAGCGATTTCCCAGGGGCCAAGGGCATCCACTCCAGAAGTTGGATGGAGTGCCCACAATACTCCCACGAAGGTGACAGGCCAGATCCTGCCTCTAGGGAGCCCCCTTGCATTGGGGTGGGACATGGAGGGAAGAATCACAGACCAGGAAAGGCCCACCAAATGCCCCACAGGCCACTGTCACTACAGACCAACTATGGACAGAGCCCAGACTTACCATATAACACAGTAATTGTGTACATGGATCATTTCCCTTCCTCAATTACTATTGTTATTAAATATGGGAATTGGGGGCACCTGGGTGGCTCAGTTGGTTAAGCGTCTGCCTTCGGCTCAGGTCATGATCTCTCGGGGTCCTGGGATCGAGCCCTACATCGGGGAGAGCGGGGAGTCTGCTTCTGCCTTATACTCTCCCTCTGTGTGCTTTCTCTCTCTCAAATAAATAAAATCTTTAAAAAATAAATAAATATGGGAATTGTTTCTATAAGAATTTTATTTTTATTTTTTTAAAGATTTTATTTATTTATTTGAGAGAGAGAGAATGAGAGAGAGAGAGCACGAGAGGGAAGAGGGTCAGAGGGAGAAGCAGACTCCCCGCTGAGCAGGGAGCCCGATGCGGGACTCGATCCTGGGACTCCAGGATCATGACCTGAGCCGAAGGCAGTCGCTCAACCAACTGAGCCACCCAGGCGCCCTCTATAAGGATTTTTTAAAAAGAAGTCCTTATAGGTCATCAGTGAAAGCTGATCTCAAGCATAAAATGGATAATACCCGTGAATGAGTAGAGGCTTTGAAAAGGTTACAGAATCCTAGTAAGCACGGATAAAATGGAAAAAAACAAAAACCTACCCCAAATTCTGATGAAAGAATCAGTACTTTTCCTTTTGCTGTGAGGTCTTTATAAAGCGCATCTATCTCAGCGTGATAGAATTGTGTTCTTTCTTCTGTGGTTTGCGTTTCCACAGAAAAGAGTATGTTGCCAACCCTAAAAATACAACAATGTGTGTCAAAGGCATGCATTATACAGTTCAAAGAGCCAAACACGGGGAGTCAAAAAAAAGGAAGGAACTGGTATGCTGATGTGGCACAAGACATATCTGAGAACGTGTCCCACCTTTCTAACTACACACACGGAGGCGTGTTCCAAATGTAGGCAAGTTTCCCATAAAATATGATATTTTGTTCAGTCTAACCAAATGTACATATTGTACATATTATAGGAGCTTAAGCTACTACAGAAGGGAACTACACATAGTCAAGAATGAATGCATGGTAAAGACTTTCTCAGACAGCCTCCCTATTATGATTGAAGATCAGGAGCCAGAACTGTGTGCAGAAGTTCAGGGACTCTACTGTGTGTTTTTAAGCTTCTGCTGCACGCTTAGCTCCATGACAGGCTCTACAGAGGAGACAAATTTGATGCAACAGGCATGTATTATATAAATAAACAGCTCTTAGATCCTATAAAGAGGAACACAGCACAGCTGCTGCATTTATGGAGGAAGAGAGGGAGAACTGAGGCCATGAATTATTATAAGACCACACGCAGGGCGATCACATAGTGAGTCAGGGTTCAAAAGTGGGAGATCAGGTCTAATTTAGGGATGCGGAAGACAACAGGAAATGCTTCACAGGGGAAGGGGCCCGAATGTGAAAATCAGAATGGGAGTGAGAGAGGCTCAGAACCAGGAGGTGCGAGGTGACCTCAGGGAACAAGCTGTCCAGCTGAGTTAGCAGGCCAAGTTCTGGCAGGAAAACAGTTCAGGCAAGCAGGAAATGTTGCAAGGGCCACCTTATGAAAGGCCTTGAGTGCCTGGCGGGGGAGCGGGTCCTGGTATCCACAGGCAGTGGAGGGTATGGAGCAGGGAGTGGTTTAACACCCAGTGGAACGGAGCCTCGGGGACACTGACAAAAGCACTGGAAGCTACCACGAGACCGGGGACGGAGACACCAGAGTCTACTCGAGGGGTTAGAGCCCAGAGCATGATGTAATGAATACGGTGAGACATGGAGGAAAGACGCCACGTTTCTGGGGGAAGCTTTATGTACTCTTTGACACTGTCATTCCCTTTCTGTCTGGAGAACCAGTTCATCTGAGGAGATCTATATATCACAAGTGGGTGGAAAGGCAGGGGAGTAATTTAAACGTTAATAGCAAACCCTGGAATTCCTTCCGGGGAGGGGAGTGTGATATTTGTTGGGAAAAGTACTTTGATAAATGGTCTGGGGTAGATCAAGACCTCAAAGATATGGAAAAGTCACAAAATCTGGGAGTTGCTAAGCTGGTGCTTACTCATGGAGCCTGTGTAGGTTCTGACAGAGAACCTGACAAAGAGGCTCCTGTGGTTTGAGAGTAAAGGCACATAAGAAAGCTGGAGCCCAAGAGGCAGAGGCAAGTCACAGCCCTACTGTGGGGCTGGCAGAAATCAAGCCAGAAGTCGTGATGCAGGAATCATGGCGCCTTGCAGGCGAAGCAACTGAGGGATACATGTTGCGGGGGAGGGGCAAGGTAATCACCCCAAATTCAAGGGATATGGAGGCTCCTAGATGAAGCTTGGGCTTCAGATATAAATTAGACTGGTTAATAAAAAGTCACTGCGGGACTATTTACAAAGTGAAAAATGAGAAATACTCTAAATGGTCAATAACAAAAAATTAGTAAGAATGCTACAACATCTACAAAATGGAATACTATGCAAGCATTACAAAAGGCTTACAAAAATATAAGAAAATGTTCATGATAAAGTAACTGTAAGATACAAAAGAAACAGATTATAAAACAATGTGTGGAGCATAATCTCAGTTTTTAAAGAAAACAACTCAATGATTTTTTTATCTTTGCTTATCTTTGTATTCTAAATTTTCCATAATAACAGACTGCACCCCTTTCATAATATATTAAAACCTGTACTTAAAAACTCTTACAATGGCCTTCAATCTGCCAATCTTTCATCTCTTTTCATTTTATCACTAAAAGTGTTGCCCACAAGGAACTTTAAGAACCTGGAAGAATGCTTTCCACATTAGATATTATACCTAATATCTAGAAAGCTGTTAGATCCAGCGTGGTCAGAAAATGTATCTGCTGGCATAATATTCTACAAGTCATGTTAACAAAATAACTGGTTATAGCTACACACTGGCCCTTGATAATTTTCCTTTCAGGATAAAGCAAAAGCCGGGTAACGTCTAACCTCCCGTGGCAATATCAGACACCAGCCCGCCTTTATACTCACACTTAGGAAGCATACATACTTGTCTCCTGTAATTGTGATTGTGAATCCATCATATTCCTTCCCTTGATCTTTGAGGCTGGGAACTTTTGTGTTCACCGTGAACCCATCCTTCGTTTTAGTATTAAACTGCTTTCAGGGAAAAAAAATTCACATTACTAGTGTGTAATTCATTGTAAACCCCCAGGCACTCTTCTGTAGCGCTGAGTCCACCTTCCACGTGTTTAAGAAGGGTCACAGAAATCCTGATGCAAGAGGCCACAACCATGCACACCTCTACGAGGACTGGGGACGCCTCTGCCTGTCCCCGACACCACACACAAACTCCAGGCCCAGGTGGCACTGCCCAGTGGCCCTAGCAGAGGCCAGCACGGAGCCTCAGCAACAAGCTCCCTCGGTCAGTGGGGGTGCTGCTCCCTTCTAAGAGTGCCCTTCAGATTTTCTCATGTTTATCTTCATTGGCAGCAACTTGGATTCTTAGCAGAATGGCTGTACCCCAAATCTCCTAACTCAAAAAACACCTTGTGCTCATGCTCGTGCTCCTCCAAGGCAGTCTGATTTGAAAAGTACTCAGAGTTATATTTGTCAACTGGAGAATTTCACACACACACACACACACACACACACACACTCCAACTCTACAGACCACAGAAAAGTATGTTAAAGGAATTACATAGAGCCAAGAATGGCCTTCAGGGGTGACAAGTATGAAGGCAGTTTCAGATGTCAGCTTTTTGTTTAAAATACTTTGGACAGGGCGCCTGGGTGGCTCTATTGGTTAAGCGTCTGCCTTCGGCTCAGGTCATGATCCCAGGGTCCTGGGATTGAGTCCCGCATCGGGCTCCCTGCTCAGCGGGGAGCCTGCTTCTCCCTCTGCCTGCTGCTCCCCCTGCTTGTGTTCCCTCTCTCTCTGGCAAATAAATAAATAAAAATCTTTTAAAAAATAAATAAAAATAAAATATTTTTGACAAAGCCAAAATGCCAATAAATAGATTTTGTCGTTACTCCAGAAAAAATCCTCCCCACATTGTTTAGTGTTGCCAACTTTTTTTAAAGGGCTGAGAGACTTGAATAAGAGAACCAAGGATAGACTAAGAGGAGGTTGTGCTTCACATAAGTCACTACTGGGGGAAAGGTTGTCTAAAACCAGTAAGACCCAGCAGGTGGTCACGAATGGTGCAGAGAAGGAGCAGGGACCAACGAGGCACAAGTGATCAGAGCCAGAATCAGGAACTGGAACAGGAATATCTTCCGTGGAGAAGGGGCTTCTAGAGGAAGACGTGTGGTAACATTATATGCCAATTCTCATCTGATGCTCACGACGTACCAGTAAGACAGGGCATGGTCTCCATCTTACTGAGGAGGAGCCCCTGGGAGGGCAGGTCCTGCCCGAGTTACTGAGCGGGAAGTGGCAGCGTGGGAACGTGGACCCAAGCCTTCATGACCTCCAGCCACATTATATGCCAGTAAGCTGCCTCAAGGGGAGCTGAGGTATATCGTTGACCTTGACCAATGTGAGGGGTAGCCGACCCCCCAAACCTCTGTATAACTTTTGACTCCCCAAAAACTTAACTGCTAATAGTCTACTGCTGACTAGAAGCCTTACTGATAACATAAAAGGTTAATATGTTGTATGTATTCTATACTGTATTCTTACAGTAAAGTAAGCTAGAGAAAAGGTTATTAAGAAATCACAAGGAAGATACATGTATAGGACTGTACTGTATTTATTGAAAAGAATCCACATATAAGTGGACCCACGCAGTTCAAACCCATGTCCTTCAAGGGTCAGTTGTATTTTAACGTGGTTTTTCACCGAAAGAATATTTCAGTGGAAGCCGTTGTCACATCACATTGCACCAAACCCTTTAAAACCAAAGGTATTTATATACTTCTGTGTGTGCCTTTAAAAAATATGTGCTTTCACCACACTCCCAGATGAAAGCTAGGTGTCTAGTGCTGCCAGGGAACGGTCACTTCCACACCACGGCGTGACCTTGCACCAGAAGGCTGACCCCGGGCGGGCGATGCTTGGCCTCTCGGCTGCACTAAACAACTGCAGGCTTGGAGCCCACTAGGCTTTTCTTTTTAAACCAAGACATACATAAAACGTTAAAACCCTGCTCAGCTGACTTGGCCTTCTACCCAACAGAGTAAATGTAATGCCTAAAATACCAACAAGAAAGAACATGAAAAACTGAGACACGTCAGTTTTCTTTCTGTAGGTCTGTCCCAGAGGCCCTCC